CGTTTGTGCGTGTGTGTGTTCGTGTGTGTGTGTTCGTGTGTGTGTGTGCGTGCGTGTTTGTGTGTGTATTCTGCAGATGCTGGTGATTCTGTGGTGATTCTCGCTGACCAGACGCTGTTGGAGTTTCCGTTAGAAGTGTTGAGCGTCCTGCAGGCGAAGGGCATCGGCTCCGTCTCTCGAGATTTCTCTCTGCAGGTTCTTCACGCACGACTGCAGATGGATGAAGCAGGTGAGTTCACACTGAACACCATCTATCTCTATCTTCTGATGCATTGATGGAGCTTAAAGATGCTGCCTGAAAGCTGTTCCAAACCCTGTTTATAGGGATGCACCAAAATGAAAAACAAAATTATGCCAACATTATAGCAACAAAGAACAGTTTAACTTAAAATTAATAAGTTAGTAAAATAATTTTTTGGGTCATTTTTGAGACCCCCTTCTTGAATCTGGCATGTATTTTTTTACTGTACAAATAAATGCAGCCTTGCTGAGCAGAAGATAATTCTTTTAAAACATTCATTTAAAAAAAAATATTAAAAAAAGAATGTATTAATATAGCTGTTGTAATTATTATTGTCTTACATTTTATATTATTTTACAGAACAACAGTAAAATTACAAAACTAACATTTATGAATGTTGATGGAGCTTTTATTTTGGCAGAAACCCGCAGGAAGACCTCAGTGCTTCTTTTTGTTGACAACAGCAGATTTATAAATGATTCTCATTACGAATTTGGGAAGATGTTTGTTGCATGTATCACATTGTCACATCCATGCCTTGTAAAAATGTATTTAATTATTAGTTTAAGGCCATTTTGTGATTTCACTCTTCATACAGTAACCAGAAACAACCACCTCTTCCTCTTCTCATCGGAGATGTGTGATGCAGAGCTAAACAGTCTCTCGCTGTCAGTGCTGTAATGATTTTACGTCTTTCTCTGACAGTTTTAAATGCTTCCACACTGTGACATGTTTGCTGCATTAGTGCATGCCTCTATTTGATCACGTCACAGCATTATTCGGTACAATTTATTAACTGAATAATTCCGGTTGCCAAACATTCGGTGCATCCCTACCTCTATAGTCTGATTCATGAATCACAATAATGCAAAATCTCAAGTTCCTCCAGCAGAGAATGTGTCTGTAAGTCACTTTGGATAAAGATAAATGACTAGTTAATTATTAGAAGTGAGAGAAAAACGATGCTTTAATGCATTTATTTTCAACAAAGTCTTAATTTTTTTTTTTCACATATGCATGGTTAAACTGTGTGCACACAAACACACAAAAAACACATAAACACACAAAACCATCAACTAAGTATATAAATAATGCAGAAAGTAAAGAGAAAAAGCCCTCATTGCCTTGTTTTTTTATTGTAATCTGTTTCTTTGTTCACCTTAAATATTTGTGTGTAAGCTATATTTTGTTAGTTAATATTTTTTAACATACAATAGTTTTGATTTATTATTCATTTGTAATTATTTTACAAAAGAATTTAAATGTCATTTAATAAAGTAAAATTAATAAAAATAATAATACATAAAAAAATATATATATGTTATGAAAATAAATAAATTTGATATTCCCAGTTGTAAACTCATTGATTAGCAAGAAAAAATTTAATTAGAAAAACAATGCTTTCAGCTGGCAATAAGAGTGCAGTATTCTCAGCTTCATTTAATGCTTTTTTGCATATTTAATTTGCATATTTCTGCAGATCTTCCTCCAAAATCAGCACAGAAGATGCAAAAAACTCCACAGATTCCCTCTAGGCCTGGTAATGACAAATCATGCATCAATCAATCAAACATGAATATATCTGACACGTCGCATCTGATTATATCTCACTCATTAATTAGTAAATCCATTAAAGTATGCAGCGTGTAGTTCATAACATTCACAAACACAAAATGACACTTTTTGTCAATTTTCAGTGAAGATTTAGCATTTCAAAGCTTCTTTATTCTCAAATGTTTTGCTTGAAAAGTGTGTTTTGTGTCAAAAATAGCATCATGAAATCATGTGTGGGATGTTTTCAATATAATAGTGTAAAACTAGAGTACAATGAACAGTAAACATCCTGAACTGACCTTCACTCGTTTGTGGGAATCGGCTGAATAATTCTTCACATGTCTCTGAGTTCTGTTTTCGGAAGTTTGTAAGTCCCCGAATGCAGTAAAGATAAAGAAGGAAAATGACGACAGGCAGAAAGCTAAACACATCCAGTGCTATTTCTGTCGGAGTTTAATCAGCTTCATTCAGGACTCGTCTAATAGGAAATGCTCTGTCAGGATTTATGGCCTGTAATCTCTTTAAAATTCAAATGTGCCGTTGCATTCAGGACATGTTTTACATTTTTATTTGCGTAATTAATTTATTCATTTTTAACTCGTGCTCGGCTTCTGTGTGTAAATCGACAAATTAAAAACTAAACGGTTTAGGGCTGTGAGATGTGCCAATAAACTCTGTGTTTATACAGACACACTTCACATGTCTGGATCTCACTGCAAACACACTTGACAAACGAAACACTTCATTCAGCCCATTACCTGGAACATTTGAGGGTCGGATCAGGAGCTTTACTTTTCACTGTTGTATCCAAGTTCAGATTTTGGCTCTCGGATTGGATCAAATCTTGAAAATGGGTTGTTGAAAATAAAAAAAAAAGGATTGTGAAATTGGATCACATAATCCAGTCTCGGTTTTGATCTGGATCAAACCTGCAGTACGTGTTGTTCAAACATTTCTAGTAGAATTGGGATCAATTTGATTCAGAAAATCTGGATTTTTCTGGCTTTAGCATGGATTTCAGAAATAAAATGTGTTCATTTTAAATTGGGCAAATATTATAACATTTGTGTCATGTAGTGTGTGTGTGTGTGTGTGTGTGAATAGCACATACAGTTTGTACAGTATAAAAACCATTACGCCTATGGAATGTCCCCATAAAACATGGAAACACAACATGTTTGTGTGTGTGTGTATGCATATGTGTTTATGTACGTATTTATGTACTGTACATTGAAAAAAATTTATTAATTTAATTTACAAAAACAATTGTAAGGTAAGTGGTTGCAATCAATGTATTTTAGCTACATTTAAATAAACAAATTTAGTTGACTACCTTTCAACATTTTTTGTTAAATGTAGCTAAAATAAATTGTTTGTAACCACTTAACTTAAAAAAATTAGTATCATTTGTTTCAGTGTATGCATGTATTACATGATTCAAGTAATATTTGACAGTTAAATAATAAAAAAAATAAAGATTTTGACGTCAATATCAAACAAAAATACTATATTTAATTTTAACTCACATTTATCCATTTATATTAATTAAACCAGTCGAAAGTGGTTTATAAAAATTGCATCCCTTATTATTAATGTATATTTATGTATAATGTATTTTGTGTATTTATATTTTTTTATATTTTTTATTTGTTGTTGGTCAGATGAAATTGAAAATGAAGACGGATGTTTGTATCATTTTATTGAGCTATTTTCTATGTCTTCAGATCCAAACACTAGTAGTCACATTTAGAGCACTGGAAATCTGGATTTGGTCATCTGGAAAAGTTTGTATCTGGATCAGGGTCATCCAATCTAATGTTGCTTTGAAAAAAAAAAGGTGGATTACCTGATCCTGCATAGAAAAACAAGGGCTTTCCAAATCCAGATCATTCCGTTCCAGAAAACTTGAAACTTAAACTTCAAACATGTTAAAGAAGAGAACAGATCCTCTGAATAGTGAAAAGTGATGAGAAAGAAACTGTAAGAGTCAGGGCTGGGTTTTGACACAAATTTCACGATTCGATTCAGTTCTCATTCACAAGCTTGCAATTCGATTACCAATTCGATTCGATTCCATATCGATTATTTTGGATATATATCAGGTACAGTACATGCCAACTTTTCTCAAGGAAAAAAAATCTCTCAACTAATGCTGCAAAATATACACGACAGTCATTTGGCACCACATTACTATAATATTGAAGGTTAAAATTTACTGATTTGTTAAAATTACACTTGAAATAATAAAGTTACAATTACATAATAATATTTCTACTTCAATTAGTTTTTTTTGTTTTTTTATATAAACATAATGGTGGCTGTCAGTAAATCTTGATGGATTTATTCAAACATAAATTAAACATTGAAGAACAGTAAAATTTATAATGAATATATTACACGGTGCATATATTTAGCAAAATGCCCCTCTCTACAGTTTATTTTTCGGTTACACTTTATTTCGATAGTCCACTTTAGACATTCTAGGGTTGGTGTAGGGCAATAGCACATACAGTTTGTACAGTATAAAAACCATTACGCCTATGGAATGTCCCCATAAAACATGGAAACACAACATGTTTGTGTGTGTGTGTATGCATATGTGTTTATGTACGTATTTATGTACTGTACATTGAAAAAAATTTATTAATTTAATTTACAAAAACAATTGTAAGGTAAGTGGTTGCAATCAATGTATTTTAGCTACATTTAAATAAACAAATTTAGTTGACTACCTTTCAACATTTTTTGTTAAATGTAGCTAAAATAAATTGTTTGTAACCACTTAACTTAAAAAAATTAGTATCATTTGTTTCAGTGTATGCATGTATTACATGATTCAAGTAATATTTGACAGTTAAATAATAAAAAAAATAAAGATTTTGACGTCAATATCAAACAAAAATACTATATTTAATTTTAACTCACATTTATCCATTTATATTAATTAAACCAGTCGAAAGTGGTTTATAAAAATTGCATCCCTTATTATTAATGTATATTTATGTATAATGTATTTTGTGTATTTATATTTTTTTATATTTTTTATTTGTTGTTGGTCAGATGAAATTGAAAATGAAGACGGATGTTTGATTGAGCTATTTGAGCTATTTTCTATGTCTTCAGATCCAAACACTAGTAGTCACATTTAGAGCACTGGAATGGTCATCTGGGTCATCTGGAAAAGTTTGTATCTGGATCAGGGTCATCCAATCTAATGTTGCTTTGAAAAAAAAA